TTGCGATTTCATGGAGCGCTTTCCCTCTCTGTCTCAGTCAGAATGGGGTTTTGAGTATACTGCCAAAATGCTGCCTCTGTCCCTAGACAAGGAAAAAAGAAGATACAAACTTGTTATTTAAATCATATATCTATTAATTTTCTATTATTGATTTGCCAATTAAGTGAGTGAAGGAAAAGAGGTTTGTTTAATATATTTCATAAAGAATAAAAAACCTTTGGGCTAAAGGTACCCCCCCTCCCCTTGGACTCTAAGGGCCTTGCCTGACCTAAAGCCATTTCTGCTTACAATGGACCGATGATCCTTATCAATAGCCAGAGGACCTGAGTCACCAGTTTCAGAGTAATTATCTTGAGGGAGAAAATCTTTTTCCAAAGAAAGGAAAAAAGGAAAAAGACTTAACTGTGTATACTTAAAAAAAATTAAAAGTTCTCTAAGTACATCTTGTAAATGAATGATTGCTCATATCAAAAGGACAACTAGAGCCATTTTAGCTCTTGGAAGACTCTAACTTGATTTTAAAAATAACAGAAATCATATTTTAACATATAAAAATAAATATGACATGACTTTGCCAAATTTATTTTCAAAGTTTTCTAATAATTACCAGGTTTAATAAAAGAGGTTTAAATAAGTGCTGAGATAGTAAAAATGGATGGTTAAGAATATCTGATTCTGAAAGTCAAAGAATTGTTTCTTTAGCCAATTTTTAGTTTTATTGTATTGCATCAACATTGATTTAATTTAATTTGTTAATGATTTGTCTTTAAGGTAGTTATTTTTTATACTTAATATTTTATAGATTTGTACATGTTGGAGATAACACATCTTTTTATCTTATGAAGGAAGAAACTGAGGCCAACTTTTTTAGGCCTAGTGACTAGAGCCAGATTTTAAGGGCCCCAATATAGCACTCTTCTTATTACATCATCCCACTGTCATTTTGGCTGTATTTTTAAGGAGATAAATGCTTTGAGGCACCTTGTCACAGAATCCGAACTTCTCTTTTCTGGAGTAGTGGATATTGTGGAAATCTATTGAGTGAGAGGATGACAGTGTTTAGACAATGCTGAATAAACAGAGGAGTAAATTGAAAAAAAAATGGTGAAGCATAGTGACTGCTTATAATAGATAGGAAAAGATAATTATTTTAAAAAGCACTGCCAGATACTTTTGATTCTATTTCTTATGTTTTTTTTAAAAAATAAAATGATTTAATATTCTTTTTTAAAAAGAAGAGATGACTCTAGTCAACAAAAATAATCCACTAACATTAAAAGAATAATGTTTTTTTCAAGTTAACAATTTCACTAACTTTTCTGTTAGTCAAATTTTCAGTTAGTTATAATGATAATATTATGCCACAATTTCAAAAAATTAACTTTTCTTCTACCAAAATATTTAAGTTATTTATGTAACAGCCTATACAGCTTTTAAGATTATTTTAGATAAAACAAACTGCGTTGTAATTATCAAAACCAAACAAGAAATGCTTTAGATGGTCTCATGTACTCCTAAGATTGAGTAAATGTGAAAAATTAAGAAAATGAACTGAATATATTTAGAATGAAATAGAAATATTGAGGCATCAGGCCTTGATAGTAAATCAAGACTTCGTCAAGATTTGCTGGAGCAAATAGCCTTAGAATTGTGACTCTTGGTAGAGGTGTTTTTGGTTTAGTACCAGAAATCAATGCCAAGTGGCTATTAATAGGAGCAGTTTCATTTTCCATGCATGTTAGTAAAGTATTATGATGGTGTATAAATGTTCAGAGATTCAAAATGCAGAGGGCAACCACTCAACTGATTGATCAGAAGAAATTTCATTAATACTGGTAGAAATTACTTGTGTCCATGTTGGTGAGCACTGCTTATCTGCCCATTTCTGATGCTATCCATCAGTAGAGAATTCATCATGTACATGCCTGCCTGACTTTTTATAACCCCCTTTATAAAGATCACGCAATTTGTACAAAAGGAAAGAAATGGAAGCAAGTGGTTTCAGCTGAGCCTAGAAATGAGTAGGCCCAGGATCCATGAAAGGACTCAGAGAAAGACTCTCAGAATTAGAGCAACCTCTACTTGCTGGGAGATGGGGAAAAACTGAGGAAAGAAAATGCACTGAAGATAATAAATGATAAAAGAGGGTGAAGTAGAGAAAAAGGGAATATATGCGCCCCTTCCAGCTGCCATGCACCAACCTTTAGCTTGGAAGTTTAGCTTCTTTCAGCCACAGATAAGCAGCTTGCTGCTGTAAGGCAGATTTTCATATAATATGCTTAAATTTTACATGATGCTTCATACTCTCAGTGCTCCACCCTGTGGTTTGGCCTTTTATAAATTGCCCCATTTGCTCTGAGGAGATAGCTCAAGCCAGCGCAAAAGGCTTTCTAATCTAACATGAAAATAATGAATTGTGTTTATAATTGAATTATTGGCCAATGAAGACTGCTGAGAAATGCATTATGGCATTTCGGTAGAGCAGTATAACATATAAAATTATATCTCCCAAAGCAAAATAGTCAATTTAATGCTCTCTATGAATGTAGTCCAAAAAGGCTTGACAATTTAAAATTATATCGACATGGCAAGTGTTTTCTAGACACAGAGTATTTGGGTTTGCATTGAAATGAATTGAACAAAGAATCAACTGCTTTCTACGGGCAGCAAGACCTTTATTTCTGGCTAGATCACTGATATCCATATTGTCTATCTCTATGAACTCTAATAATTATAATAATGTTCATATGACAGTCTAACCAAAAAACCACTCAAACAAAGTTTTCATCAATAATCCTCCTTATTATTGATGAGCTGAGATGTCAATGTTGGTCCTTACTCTTCTGATTCATTTCTTGGATTTCTTATTGATCCTTAGATCCTCTGAGCTAAATATAAACATTTAATCTCTATCAAGGGTAAATATATAAATTTT